TAATATTCTGTGACTGTGCCTAAAAATTCAAGCAGAGTAAACAGTGCATAAATATAATGTCATTGGAACAGTATGAGGTGCAAAATATGACAAAATAGATCATAGTTGTTTGATATATATTACTGCAAATATATACAGTATAACTAGTGATGAATAGGTTACTCTTCTAAATATTTAAATATTGAAAGCGTGTTATATACATTACAAATCATACAACTTGTGATATAGATCACAATTCACAACGCAGCTCGTGATATAGGTTACAAATCATGGTTTATATCACAACTTGTGATATAGATCACAATCCACATTGCAGCTTGTGATATAGGTTACAATTTCGCATTCGGAATTACTTAATCTTATGACCCATATAGTGAACGGAAGGCTATTTTATATTCTGGAGGGGGCACATTACATTGGACATATTCATTGTTGATGCTTCTCGCCTTCTCTTCAATTTTGACAATGACCGACATGTGTGGAGATGTCGAATCTGTTGTTCAAAATGTGGTAAACAGTCCTCAGTTTTGGTCGCTTGTTGCAGATGTTATTGAAAGCTCAAACCATACCACAAATTTGACACAAACCGAGGCGTCCAGCATCTCTCAGAATCAACCTAAATCAACAAACATAGTCGGCAACGACGGCAAGTGCTTCCAACAACCGTAGCCGAATTACTTATGCAAATCCCATAGCAGAATTTAATGGTATTTTTCGCCGTGGGGCGTCTACTGGTCAGCAACAGCAAGGTGGCGGCACCATTGCGTCTTTTCTGCCTGGGATAGCCCATTATACAGCAAGATAGAGATCTTGAAACTGTAGGACGTCACGAGGTCACCGAAGTTCAAGTGTCGACTTGTAAAACCTGTTCAAATTTCCTTCAGATACAATTTAAAGTTTTCAAACCTTCCTCAAAATAAACTGAATAAATACTGAAATATGGCTTCATCAAATAGCAATATACTAGAGTATATAAACTTAACTGATTTTGACAGCATAAAGTTTGAAAGAGATGCGTTGTTAAATGCAGTACATGATTCTAATATATTATTTGCCGTAACAGAATTTATACTTCGGACAAATTGGACATCTTTACCAACTACATCCTATGTGATATGTTGAATATAAAAAGAATATAAAGACTCAAGAGTCAAGATAATCTTTAAAATGTGATGGTTTCTAAATCTGTAATAACAGTGGTACACACATAAAAATTGAGAAAATCAACAATTTGTTCCCGGTTGATATTGACTGGTGTGAACAAGGTTGTGCCGCCTACTATGAACAAGTTTGCAACAAGACTTGCAACAATTTTTTTATTTTATGCCTGTACACATATTATATAGAGTTCAGCAGTAAAACCATGGCAACAACATTCCAGAGGTGGTATTTGATGTTTCTGTACTTGTGGTTTTGAAAGGCATTTGAGAGTGTCAATCAATCAATCAATTTATTTACCACACAACATTACATTACAGATTCCCTTATACTCGTATACTATAATAAATATTGGTCCCATTTTACATTTGTTGAATTATATAAAAAAAGTATTGTTGTGCAGAAGGTTGAGCTGTGAGAAAGCTCGAGAGAACTTGAACAAGCACTGATCAACCAATGGAACTGGGAAGGAGATTTTTTAAGAATCTATGTATTCAAATGGTTGAGTGAAAAAGGAGATATGGCTATTATATAGAAATAAATCATAAACTATATTATACTCAATATTTATGAATATGGGACCTTAGTCTAGCCTGAAAAATAAATAACGTAGCAGCTTCGGTTATATATTTATTTCTAGTGAGTTCCAAAACAATGATCCTCTGTGTTTAAGAGTTAGTTTTCTTGTTGTTGTTCCGACTTTGTTGATATGAACTCTGTTGGCATTCCGCGTCTTGTAAGAGTGAATATCTTTGTTAAGGATGAAGTAATTCCTAAAATGTTGCGGGAAAATTGAGGACTTGTCAAAGCATCTATACATGAAAGAACCAGTTTGAAATTTATTAATGGCATAAACATCAAGTAACTTGAATTTTGAAAAAAAGTGGTTCAGTAGGATCTTGATGTCCACCATTAGCAATAATATGCACTACACGTTTTTGCAATTTCATGATTTTATCAAGATTAGTAGGGTATGTTTTAGCCCAAACTATATTACAGTATTGTCCCCGAGCCGGTGGCGCGAAGCACCGTGTGAGGGTACTAATTCCCCCGGCTATTTACACCCGGGGAAACGAAAGCATTAGGGAAGTCTGAAGTTAATCAAATATCGCAGGCGTGGGTGGTCATCCTCACTGATCAAAAAAATATGGCGGACTGTCATGAATAGCGAACACCGATTGGTCAAATTTAAAATTTGTTGTTGTATGACGAATTTAACTGACAGATACTTCATGAAAATATTTTGCTTTTTGCACTACAGTTTTTTGTACATTTGCAAAAACATTTGGCAGCTTTAAAAGCAATTAGTTTTATTAAAACTTTTATCAAACAATTACGGTATCAAATATGGACAAGATAAGGAGCCATGAAGAGCGGCAAGGAAATGACAAGAAAGCCGAGCGTCTAGCGAAAAGAAGGGAGCGAAGACGACAACGTTTGCTCGAGGAGACTGCCGAGGAAAGAGAACCTCGCCTGGGAAGGTCTGGGAAAGCATAGAGAAGCATGGAAAAGACTGCTGAAGCGAAAGGTAAGAAAAGGCTTGTCTTCACAACGCCAATGTTACTGTAGCTATACAAGTTGAAGTATGATATTCGACCCTCCTTTCTTCACAATTTTCCAATAAAGAGTTTGTCATGACATGCTCAAGTCAGTATAACCAGACTGTATTTATTTATATCAGTTATCACAGCCACAGGCAATTTTATGCTGTCAAATACCGTCGGTTGCAACTAAAGGTGAACAGTTGCAGATAAAACATTCTCTATTCTCATTAAAAAGCCTGTAAAGGTTTCCAGTAGGTCTCTAGCCCGACATGTTCAGATGAAGTTTTTTTTTACTTATTATTGTACACATGGGAAACAACAATTAAGTGTTGTTGTTCTTGACAAACATTGGAGATTCTAATCACAGAAATGTTTTTATGAGCGACTGTTCATCGTTAGTTGCAAGCAACGGTACAACATACTATGAACATTTTTCAGACTGTGACCGAATGTGCAATGATATATTTTTCATGAAAGTTGTTATCAATTCCTAAAATTTGTTTATAGTAAAACGGCCTGCTCAGCACTCACTACTCATGATGATTTCATTTAGAAATGCAGTTACCAGGAAAGGAACTGATTCTAAAATATGAAATTTAAAAGCATTGGCTAACCGAATAAAGCGATGTGAAGACAAGGTATAAACTTTTATAGTTGCTATTTGTTATGAAATCCTATAAATAAACCGATTCAACAATAATTTTGCCTCGAATTTGCATATTCTATGCTGCATGTCAGAAGCGGCATGTTTATATTTTATTTTTATAGTATAAAAATAAAATTGTAATAGTATGAAATAAAATACATTTCTGTTTATTGACCAGTACTTATTTAATGTCTTCTTCATCCATTGGTCAGAGTAAATTTTTACTTCTTGCAAGTAACTATTTGACAAGCAGCCTGAAATAAGCACAGGAATAAGCACAATAAGCCATTTTATAGTAGCAATATGAAAATTAATCACTGAATGATCACTGATAACTTGATAATAATATAAAACAAAACACTTCTATCAGCAACTTTTACAATCACTGATAACTTGATAATAATTTAAACCAGTCCAGTTGTAGTTTCAATATCTGGGAATAATACATGGGTGCACAGAAATACCAGCTTTATTTCGAGTGTTGAACATGATATCTCGAGTGAGATGTCATGTTCAACACAAAAAATAAATATGGTATTTCCAACCACCCATGTATTTCTCTGTTTATTACATAAAGGACAGTCTTTGAAAAGCGATAAGTGGTAGCTAACCTTTTAATTTTTATAGAACTGAAAACTGAAAGTTCTTCGATTTCCCTTGATTTTATATATATTGTAGACCTACCCAACCCCACACATTTACTGAAGTTTCAGCCATGAAGCACAAAATGAAGAAAAGTTAGCGCACTTCAAAAATCGAACCAAAAATGATGCGAAATGTCCAAGAAATTTCGCTATATAAAGTAGTCAACATCATGTGCTGTGCTGAGCGCGCATTATAGGTTTTTGCTTTGCTGTTACAATATATGTCTTTAGAATGTATGGAACTTTCTCGTGATATCTTTTTCCATAAATTGAAACTTATTGACTTGGTTATTTTAGATCAAAGATGGATGAAATTTCCGGGTTTTCCAAACTACGTATTGTGAATCACCTATTTAAATATGGTCCTACTTTCTTTATAAATGTACATATGCATAATTTGTTAGGGCTAGGATTTAGTCATTCTACGACGATTTCAAATGTTTGGGATTCTTTTGTCTTGGCGAAATTTGCAGTTAAACATGTACAATATTATGCACATATCAACGGCCTGCCCGGGGGGTACACCCCCGGGAGGTACACCCCCGGGACTTTGAAAAAACATGATTCTAATACGTTAATTCCCCCTCCATCCCCCGGGAAATGTGCAAGTCAAACTGCCCCCCCCCCTGGGGCTTAGAATAAAGTAGTTCATAAAAAACCTATGAAAGATTTTTCAAAAAAGCACGGCAATAATGTTGTCGACGAGTATTCTGTCATTCACACCCTCATTTAGAACTGAAAAAAGGCGGTTTCAACAAAATTCTTCCACAAATCAGAAGTTTATATAAAAAATTTTTAATCCATATTGCAACAACATAAATCAATGATCAACAGATTCACTGTGATTAGTTTAACAATATAACAGAATACATTTATATTTTATAACGTACATTTATAACGTAAGCAGTCGTCAAATTAACATTTCTGACTCCAGTTTCTGAAGAGGTTTTCCAATAATATATATATATATATAATATTACAGTATTAAATGACGACTTTAGGCCTAGTTCAATTATTACATAACATGCAAAGATATGTCTCCATTGTTTCGGCTTGTTGTTCAGTTACGTCCACGCATTCACCATGGTACCAGCAGTCACAACCGTCACATTGTATCATAAATCTAAAAAAACGAACATTGTAATGTGAATTTCACAAGAAGCAAAATCAACAAACTACTATTTAAATTATTTGCATGAAGTTGCATATTTACCTGTGTTCTTCTTTCTGACAAAAACAATACAGCATGAGGTCTTCACTGTCATCGTCGTCATCATCATCATCACCCAGATCATTTTCATCCATAGCTGTAACACACAATGAAGAAAATTCACATATTTTTTATTTAAAGATGCTGTAAAGTCCGTATGTTGTAAGCCAACGCTTTGTTTACATTTTCAACTCAGTGCTACTGAATTATTAACACTTTTCTGGTCGCTATGCTTGTAAATGAATGTAGGCCTGCGCAGAACGGACTTTACAGCATTTTTAAACATATATATTTAAAAAAATCTTAATTACTTAAATCTTAAATACTCAAAAATCGTATTACTTAATTACATGTACCTCTATCAGTGCTCCTTCGCTTTTCAAGTTTTTTGGCTTTCTTAAGTTCCTTCCTCTTTTGAATGGCCTTGAAATGGTCCACCAAGTAAAGGGTATCAGACACACTTAAAAGACACTCTTTTGCCAAACTCTGAACGTCGTTTTCACTGGGATCAGCATTTCTCTGTATGGATGATTTGATTACATATGATGGCGGTTTGAGGCACGATTTGATTCCATGTTTCTTCACCTGGTCGATAACACTTTCTGGAGATAAATAATGGCCAGCACAGAAATCTGGACATGATTTGCATGAACCACCCCATGGTCGTTGAGGGTCTGGAACAGGGAGTGGCAGCACTGAAAGATTTGGACCTCCATCGTACCAGATCCACTGTTTTTTACCCTGCTTGCACACCTTGTGCGGACAATTCTTTTCGAAACATGGGCAGCATGAACACATAGTTTTGTGGGATATCTTTCACCATATGTCGATTTCGAATATTCCAATCATTTCGAAATACTGATATAACTCCGGATCTTCCCTTGCTAATAACGCTTTGTTCTGTTTTGTTCCCCGCAAAAATACAAGGAGCTTCTCCCGTCTTTCTTGGTGAGCGGCTGCTGTTGACCCTGTCGCACCTTTAAAGAGGTGAATTTTTGCTCCACAACACGAAGCACCATCAACGGCGGATATATATACATTCATAGCAGCTTCTAAATTCTTTCTCTGTTGCTCTTTACTAATTTGACCCATTGAATCTACATTTGAACCATGGATGGTGGATGGGATAAAAAGATGTGAATGCCCTATGGACAAACATCCATTTTGGAGTTCCACCTTGTTTAAGTAACTTCCTCCAGAAAACCTAGATGTAACAATTGTGCAAACTTTATCTTTTTTGAAATGACGCTCTGCCCAAACGAACTGTACTTCCACATGGCTCGGTCCTTCGTCTACTCCTCCGTCTACTCTTATACAGTCAATATTTCTATCTGAAAGAAACGGTGTGGACAACTGGTTGCTCTCAAGCATTTCTAAGTCCGCGGCATGCTGGGAGGGATTCTTGGGAAAGACGTCATGCGGTTTTATGACTCCAAAACATCCAATTGGTGTATTGTCAGTTTCGAGAAACATATAAGAGCTGGTTTGCAACACTGATGAATATTTATTCAAATAATCGGTTCGGGTTGTTAGCTCCGGGTTCCCTTTTTCAGCCAGGATTGTCTTTTGCTTGTGAGTAAAAGTCGTATCGAGACGAAATCCTGCAGCATCATCGCGGTTTAACATTACCTTATTTAAGCCATCTTTTAGTTGCACAAAATCTAAATTCTTGTAGAACGAACAACTCCAGTGTGCGTCCACGTTTAACTTCACATTAAAACCTTTTCTAGCACGTCTTGAAACCAGTTTTGCAGCACCCCAGTATCGTTTTGCTGACTGCCGTCTTTTGTTCCTCGCACAGCAAAGTTGCACTGTTGTGCCATATGAAAACTTTGTTTTATATTTATCTTCTAAGTATTTGCGAATCCTGTTATACGTTAACTTCGGACCTTTCTTGGTATTACCAGAGAATGTAAGCAAACCTGTGCGTCTCCAGGAATCCGCACCTATCCTGTTCTCTCGCGCAAATCGTTCAATGTCCTTACCGATGTTCGGGTACTTTGCTAGAGTCTTGCTCACTCGTGGAGGAACTTTACGTCCCAGTAAGCACTTGCTTGCAACTATTTTTGCTATCCTCCGTTTCTTCCATCTGTAGATAATCGCTTTCTGTTTAGAGATTTTCTTCATTAAAGTTTCAGGGAATGATCCTTCTTGGGAAATCTTTAGCCAGTCTTCTGGGTCGTCACTCTCAGAGTCTGTATGGACTTCATCTTCATCATAATTACCAATGTTTTCATTTTCCAGTGCCCTGTATGCTTCCCTCGATTGTTGTAAATCTGTTTTCTCTTTTTCAGTCAAAAGACATTCATTCACGTTCTCGATAAAGCTGTCTAACATGACATCACTTTCTCCTATCCCTTGAAACCGTAACCGACATTCAGTAACGAACAGAAACCAGTTACACTTTGCTTTCTTTAGCAAATCCAACAGTTGTTCACTGGATAGCTTGCACTCGGGACCGTTCTTCGTTTTATTAAATCCCAGTTCGCTAGACGAACAGGTTATATTTGGCTGCTCCTCGACTTCCACGCTACTTAATTCGTCTGAATCCGAGCCACTTCCAGAGTCCTGTTCGTTCATAAGTAAATCTCCAATAATTACGTTTTCTTTGCACATTGCAAGTTCATCTACAGCTTCTCTAATTACTTGCAGCTCTTTAACAGCTGCATACACTGCCTCTCTTTCGGAATTTATATCGTCTATTCCTAATTTGGCCTTAGATTGCGTAGCTGAAAGATGCGAACTAGCTGCAACTCTGATTAATTTCTTATCTTTTTCATTGGTAGCTAAACTGCATAAAAGTTTGAGTTCTTCCTTATTTATACTCTCGCATTTACTATCAGGCACTAAATTCTCCAATAACTCAATAAATTTTGACGTAGTTTGTTCCACTACTGTATCTTGTTACGTATAATTTACTTTTGATAGGAAATATTACAACAGGCAATTGCATGAGTTGTCGAACAGCTTTGTCAGTCTTGTATTGTTGATTAAATCGTGTCTTATAGAGTAACGCGAGTGGACAAATTCCACCACTAATAATTTCTTTTGCAGCTTCAATTAGTGAATTACAATAACAATCCGATGAGTGTCTTTGTAAACCACAATGAATTTGTCGCGCTTCAACAAATTCCTCCAGCGTCATGTCCTTAATATGGGAAACATAAATTTTACCAAGTTTGTAGTTATCACTTAACTTAACGTCACTGTATTTTTTATACTTCAAATAACACATATCTAATGGAGTTCTTTGTTTTTCAATTACCAAAGTAGGGTTAGAGCATCCTACTTTGGCCCGTTTCAAAAATTTTGTGGCTGTTCAGCAGTTTTGGCACATGAATTTTCTGGCACCTTGGTAGACTCTTCAACGATTTCACTGTAGGCTGCAATAATTGCCCCAACCTGTTTCTTCAAGCTGGAGGCGTCACGAGCATTATTGTCCAACTGGTTTTCTGGTTCCTCATTTGAGCCATCTTCTACTGTTATGACTTGATCATTTTTTGGAATCAACTCGCTATCCGACAATACAACGGTATCACCACCACTACTCTCTCCACTTTTTTCACTGCTATGTGACTTGCTGCTTTCACTCCAAGATAGTTGCCTTTGATTCTGTGAATCGGAATCACCTTTTCTGAGGCTGTGAGAACTCTTTTTCTTTTTGTAATTTCTGGACTTTTCTCTTGCTTCCTGTAAAGCTCTCAACTCCTTCTCTAACTTTCGTTTTTCGCTCATTTTCTCCATTATAGATGCATTGACATCTGCAGCTTGCTGGAACTTATTTACATTGGCATACTGTTCTTTTTGCTTTAGTAGCAGCTGAATGGTCTCCGAAACAGATTTTACAGATTCTGATAGTTCGTCAATACGTTCTTCTCGTGCAGTGGTGGAAATATACTTCCTCTTGGTACTTACTGTCGAGGATTCAGAACTGCAGTTGCCAAACACTTTTGATCTTAAGGAACACTTAGCATATGAATACCCCATCTCGTGAACCCTTTTTTTAGCAAGCTCAAATAACTCTCCCTTTTTCTGTAAAAGCTTAACATCTTCTTTGGCAAGTTGCATGCTAGCATCGTTCACCTTCTTCATGTAGCTTGTTGGATTGGGACACTTGAAAATGGTGCTTTCTTCAGCTAACTTGGAAAGCTCAATTTTTACATTTGCTGTTGGAGATTCTTTATGAACAGCCTTAGGAAAGAAACAACAACTAAGAAGTTTGATCTGGATATCGGTTCGTTTTACAAAACTGTGAAACACATGTGTGCACGATTTAGATCACATGAAAATCCCCTGTCATGGGATTCATACATGTAAGATTTGTTGTTGAAGTGAAACTATTCTATGTGAAACGACCCATACAAGAAGTAATATACTAGGATTTTATTAAACTTTCATGTATGTCAATCTTTGAATTATTTCATTTCATGTGTTTCGCTATGTAGTACAGAGCATGGTAACAATGGTATCTCATTAATTTTATTCGTATTCAAAAGTGCCTTTTTTACTGTATCAGTGTCCTCCAACTTTTCGACCACTTCTGTGGCCTCTGATTACACTAAAATTAAAGTGAAGGTTATAAATTATACCTCTATTTCACCCCCAAGCTGCAAACTGTTGTTTGATACTATAAGAGTTCGTTGGCCAGTCCTTGTTGAAGACTTTGATTCACATGATAAAACTTCGTTGACCTTGTCCAATTTTTGACCTACAGCTGGTTGGAAAAAAGTTTTCTATATGTAACGTATAGGCAAGTTCCTAACATCCTATATATAGACCTGGATGGTACATTCATGTACTGGTACATCCATGTACTGGTACATCCATGTACTGGTACATCAATTACTACATGCACATACAAGTCTATAGCAAGTTACAAAATAGGTACGCAGTGCGTACATGTTGCATGCCATCTAAAACTTTAATATGATGCGCTATAGCGCTTATAACCTTTGGTACAACTTAAAATATTGATTCAATAAGTTTAAAATCAATATATTTATTGAAAAATAGCTATTATGTCAAAATAAGAAAACTTAAGATTCTTTCGCGAATTAGCCTACGGTGTAGACCCCAGCAGAAACACACGAATAGGCAATATTTTTTTATAAGCCATCGTTAATAGTTAGTTGCAAGTGACGGTAATAATAACATTATTAAGGTCAAGGTTTTATCAAAAGTGATTAACTGTTAGATTTCCTTTACAAATTTATAGCTAAGTAACGTTAATTCCTTTAGATTTAGCTTTATTGTAACTTTTTAAAGGTGAATTACTATAATCGATTGAAAATTATTATTAGTCATTTTGACGTTTGAGCGATTGAAATGAGTTAATTTACGCTATATTGAATCTTATGCATACTTCACAATGGTTGCTATTTCATTGTATTACATTTCAATAGTATGTATAAATACTATTTATAATTCAAATTTTGTTTGATATTTATATTTCATGTTATTTACAAAATGTGCAGTACAGTAGTTTTGAAGTTTTGAAAAACTATGGGCACAATGGCTCCGTTTCAGTTTGAGTATATAAAAATCGAGTATTTCGATATTAAAGCCTGATAATTGATAAATAATCAGTGCGAGCACAACGGCTCCAAAATCACAACAAATAACAGAATATAAGGTAAGTTGAAAACTGTAAAGCATTTCATTGGTAAGGAGGAAATACTTTGGTTTATAATCTGAAGAAATAGCCAGTGATTGTCTACACCATAGACGGTAAAAATCTAAATTTTAAAAAAATCTTCACAGGAAGATGCCATCGAAACCTCCTCGGTGAGGTACCTTCAGCACCGCATAGCCGTTTACTTCTTTCGAAAAGCCTCCTACTCCAAATTCTATTGGGAACCCTGCATGCCGTCATTTTTCGGCCATTGCAAACGCCTGAGCAGGCATCTTGTTATAATAAAAAAGTTTTATATTTAAAGAGGGTAACATTCTTAATATCATAGTAAATCATTATACACTGATAACTTCATCACGCTTTCATATACCTTGATGGAACTGCTCCCATTTTTCTCCTGGTCGAAGGAGAATGAGCGTTGTATTTGATTCAACAAAAAGAAAATATTCTTCATCAACTTCTGTCCCATCTGATTCCAACACCAGTGTGTATATGGCTGTGTTTTCACCTGAAAACACCAGTTTTACAGCCCCTGAAATAGAAGGACCGATCTTTAATATATGACAACTGAATTATGCACAACATTATCAAATACAAGGAATCTACAATAAAAATTTTGACCTTGAAAATGGTCCAAAATATATATATTTGCATGCACTGTACTGTATATTGCTTGAGTGAATATATTGTATTGGGTCGTTCCAGAAAAGATCCACACTCCCCCCACGGAGGAAATTTCTGATAATAGTAAATGTATTAGGACATCCGAAGGGGGTAGGGGGGGTTAACTCCCTATTTCCTTTGTGGGGGTGGTATGGATGTTTTCTGGAATGACCCATTCTCCCTTCTATTATAAATATGATTAAAATCACATAATACAGCAACAGTTACACATTTTTCCAAGTATGAAGCAACAGCCTAATAATACTGTTGTCCACTAATCCAATGGATCACATCTGTCATGAGTGAAGAGGAGGATCAGAAATTATATAGACAGAATATTAAATCTGACCAGTGAACCATGCCTTGACAATAAAACCTGAAATAGGCACAAGGCGTGTCTTTACTTCTCTTCCACTTACAGTGCAAGTTTGTATTAAATACAGTATGTGCTGATTTTAATAGGGCATACATGTTTATTTTTTATGAATAAAATTTTTCACATTTTAAATTTATTTATGGTGTTTTATATTATAAATAAACTCAGTGCATAGATACTGTAACTGAAATAATTAAATATTTGAGAGCAAATATAAATGCAAAATATATAACAATACAATCATTGACCATGTGCAAAATATTTTACCTTTCCCAACAATTTCCTTTACTGATCTGGCCACCACGGACACTTTTTTCTCCCGTTTGGCATTCCAAACTTTAAATGGTTTTGGCTTTTAATATAAAATAGCATACAAACAATTAAAAATTATCATACAAACGTGATCACAATGGCACTCAAGTGTTCTGTATTTATTTATTCAAATTTTAGCAAGACCACTACAAAATATCATGAATAATACATTTGTTGATGAGGGGCGTTCAAGCGGAAAGTAAATCCATATGGATTGGAGTTTGATGCTCAATAGTAATACAGTAAAACTACGGATTTAAAATAAAAAAATTAAAAATCCTCACCTTGTTTTCCGACGACATCTTGGCGATCGATATTTTTCTTTGTGAGCCTGCGATTTTGAGTTCGCACTAGCCCGCGTGCAGGCCCAAGGGAACTGATAGTGGGCCTGCAAGCAAGGCCCGGTATTTTGTAAAACGCCCCTTTTCATAACACGCCCCATTCGCGCGTCAATTGTCAAAAAAGAACCAATGACAGCAACCCAAATATTAACAAACAAACTCGCATTAAAATGTTGCGGGGTTTTCACTGCTTTAATATTCAAAATAGAAACAATGTGTAAATGCCTGTGTTAAAACTCAAAAAAAGCAAGCAACGCAGTCACTAGTCAGTAATTGCCAAATTTACAAGTGCTCATTTTCAACTAAAATCGGAACAGGCAAATTAAGACGAATTTCAACAGAAAACCAGTCTCAAACTTCAAATCGTGAGGGAAGTCGTGCGACCACATCAGCATTTATAATGTTGCTTCGCTGTCGCCATTGTTATAAATAAATTGTCTTACTTATCAGATCGTGTGTGCAATTCTTGTTGGCGGCGGAAAGTACGAAATTTATTTCAGTTATTTCATTTGGTGAGAACTCTACAAAAGAAGAGAGCGTTCAGAGTCCAGATCGTTTCGTTTCAAACGGCAATTTAATACCGTCTTCTCTTTTGCTCTCTCAGCGAAGCCTTGTAAATCGCAAAGTATTTTGAATAGGCTTACATGCAACTGCATCTCAACATCAACCAAAAGATAATTTTCTTGAGGAACATATAACGTATCAAGTCTGTTTGAAATTAATGAAACTCAAGTAAAGGTTACTATAGTTTACCCCAGTCGTATTAAATGTTGCTATTCCAACACCTCACGACAAGCAATCCTCATTGGCATAACGGCAAAACATCTCTTCCTTCAAGTAAACAATAAACAGTCTGTTCTTGTTCCATTTGTAATCGAAAAAAGTGATCAATTTTCGAATTTTAAGCTTATCGAGAGCCTTTGTCTATGATGAATCACTGACCTAATTATAGAATCCAACAGCAAACAGCCAATCAGAATGCCGCGTTCGTGGGCGAACGCGGAAAGTACAAAATACCGGGCCTTGCTTGCAGGCCCACTATCAAGTTCCCTTCAGCCTGCTCCCTTGGGCCTGCACGCGGGCTAAGTTCGCACCATTACTGTGCACTTCATTTATACAATTCAAATTGCCAAGTCAAAGTCCCCTACTTCCCCACCCCCCGTTGTCCTATTATTGCAAAGTTTGTAATTTCCCCGTGGTTCACGGGCAGAATACACGGATAAAATACCAAATTCCCCCCCATATCCCCCCGGTCGTCCCGGGGGTGTACCCCCCGGGCAGGCCGTTGATATGTACATTAGCGTCATGGGCAATTCCAGCTATAGATTAAATTTTGATTTGGGCAAGAAAAACAAAATCCATCAGCACAGCTAGAAAGAGCATGTTAAAATTAGTAAAATTACAACGTTTCGTTGCAAAATGTTGTAAAATCAGGAAAATATAGCCCTGCGAAATTTGCAAATTTTGTATTAATTTGTCAGTACACACGGGAATTTGCACCACCTTTCGGCCCAAATCTGGTATACGAAATTTGCAAATTTCGTAGGGCTATTATTTCCCTTATCTTACAACATTTCCTGGCCAAACTTTGCAATTTTACTAATTTTAACATGCTCTTTCTAGATGGATTTTGTTCTTCTTGCCTATTCCAAAGTTTCATTGCGAAATGTTGTAAATTGCGGATAATATAGCTTTGCGAAGTTTGCAATTTTAAGTCATTTTAGATTACAAAACGGGAAATTGATTTCCAACACAAGATTTGGACTGTCAATTTCCCGTGCGTAATATAAAATGACTGAAAAACGGCAAACTTCCCATGGCGATATTATCCGCATTTTACAACATTTTGCAACGAAACTTTGGAATATTACTAATTTCGTGATGCTCTTCATGTTGTGGTGAAATTTTTGTCTAGATCAAAATTCAGTCTATAATGCAAATGGTCCATTGCCCATTGAGTGGTTCGTATTAACTGGAGCGTGACACTGTGAATATTATTTCTTAAATTTTATTTCAAAACGATTCTGTGTTTACTGTAGTCGTCACTGAGAACACACGCTTCACTTCTCAAATATCGGTCATGCATTTTTAAATTAACTCAAATTTACATCATGAAAAACACAATCATGCAGATATGCAAATACTATACAAATGTAAGTAAAAATGTTGTCGTTGAATGGAAAATCAGCTGAAAAAGAATACAAGATGATACAAGATGGTAAGCGTGATCTTCTCTAGAGTGCCTGCGACAAATTATGTTGTGGTCTAGTACGTAAAGAAAAAGTAGTTCCAAGATTGTTTACTGCAAGATAACATTATAATTAATTTGTGACATTTGTACTACGCTGTTATAAACCCGGAAGTAACTTTCTCAACAAAGTTGTAAATAAACGCACGCAGCGAGACAATTGTCCATTGTAGTTTAATATTGCAACTGAAACTCTCTGATTATGTTACATTGGTTTGTTACAGTTCTTGAAGCATGAAGGTAAGTCCATAGTCAGTTTTATCTCGAAGTTTTAATTTAATTAAATTACACGGAAATATTTAACCTCGGTGTAAGTGTTTTCCAAATCACCAAATGTAATGTAACTTCCACTGACAAAAATAGTAATGGGAAGAATTGTTTCTGCTCTACCATCAGATTTGAACTAAGTTCATATTTTGTTGATAGTAAGGGGCAGCTCATTACAGGTATTGCAGAAATCACTTGACACTGAACTGAATCATTTACTACAGACATTAAAATAGGCAGTCGCGAGACTGCACGTGCCACTGTTAGTATATAATAATTCGCGGAAAGTATTACATGTAACCAGACACAGTTCTATAATGCGGTGCCCTAGTGTTTTCTATGGACAAACCAAAAACAAAGTCAAAACCTTCGACACTAAAGTGCATGACAGAATATTAAATAGTTGCATAATGACAACAGTTTTGTCCTGAAGCCGGATTTCAAGCCCCCCCCCTATTGGCAGACCCCCCCCATTTTGGGACCCTTCGGAAAATTGGAAATTTGTTGTTGTCGAGTTTGTCGGAATCGATATGTAAGAAAAGTTATTTCAAAATATGTGTAATAAACTGCAAGTCGTACATGAATGTATCGATAGAAAATGTAAACAATTAAATATGCAGCGTCAGCAGCGATAAATATAATTATTACCTTAGACATTACATGAAGAAAATATGCTTGTGATTCCGCATAAACGTACAAACTCACAGGCAGAATATAAAGCCGGTGTCAAACTTGGATGGGCACCGCAATTTACAGCCATGCTTGGGGCTGTGGCTATGTTTTTTACGTTTGAAAAAAGTTAAAATGTGCTTGGTCATGCGTACGTGCGTGGGCGCAGTATGTACTATGTATATATACACATATACTGTAGAGAAAGTGAATGAATGCAAAGAAAATCATTAAGAAGTAAACTGTGTGTTATCAGTGTCATTTACAGTGAAGCATGTTAACTTTTTGAATAGAACAAGCGTAAGATATTGGAATCGTAACACGCCGGTTAATAGAATCCAAGCACTCCATTACGCTAATATTGTACATGTTTAAGATCAAATTTCGCCAAAACACAAAAGAATCCCAAACATCGTCGTCGGATGACTACATCCTAGCCCTAACAAATTATGCATATGTACATTTATATAGAAAGTAGGACTATGTTTAAATAGGCGATTCCCAAGACGAACTTTGGCTAGTTTGGAGGACCCGGAAATTTTCACCATCTTTGATCTAAAATAACCAAGTCAATAACATTTCGATTTATGGAGAAAAGATATCAGGAGAAAATTCCATATATTCTAAAAACATAGATTGTAACAGCAGACCAAAACTTATAATGCACGCTCAGCACAGCACATGATGTTGACTGCTTTATATAGCGACATTTCTTAGACATTTCGCATCATTTTTGGTTCGATTTTTTAAGTACTCTAACTTTTCTTCATTTTGTGTTTCATGGCTGAAACTTCAGTAAAAGTGTGGGGTTGGATAGGTCTACAATATATATAAAATCGAAGGAAATTGAAGAACTTTCAGTTTTTCATATCTGCCAGAAAATGGCGAATTATTGCGATTTTTACAGACAAGCTCTCTTAAATTGGCTCGACTTGGAATGGGTTTATTTCTTGCACGAAAAAGTATATAATTCGTTTTCTTTAAATTGAGCGAAAGTTCATTTGCTTTAAACCAGTCCGACAGTTTATCAAGTTCACAATTAATTTTATGGATAAGTGTGGCAAAATCTCTGTCAGAATGATATAAACTAGTATCATCAGCAAACAGAATAAAATTGAGAAGATTAGAGCAATTGGCAATATTGTTAATGTAAAGAAGAAATAAAAGTGGTCCAAGGATAGAACCTTGGGGAACACCACATGTTACAGTCATTTTTGAGGAGACCGTCTCACTAAATTTCACAGTTTGTTTCCCGTCTCACTAAATTTCACAGTTTGTTTCCTATCAGTGCTTAGGTCTTTAGAAGTGTGGCAGCGAATGCTCTCACTTGTTTCCGAAGCAAAATGCTAAATTTAAACCATGCAGTATAGTGCCCTGCATGGTGGTTTATAATCAATGGCAATGTTTGGAATGGTTGAAAATCAACCTTCTAGCCTCATTGAAGAAATCTGAATTTATCACGCAGGCAACCTATAAATAACTCTATCCTACTGGCTCTCGCATTGGTATCTTATATACGGACTTCCGAAAATACACAAGAACAGTATTCCACTTAGACCAATTCTATCATGTATTAATAATTATTCTTATAAGATTGCCAAGTTCTTTGTCCCCATTCTAAGTCCTATTTGCTCTAGCACCTTCATGGTTCATGATTCTTTGTGCAGGAATTGTTAAGTCTAGACCTTAATTCCGATAATTTTGCCATGGCTAGCTTTGATGTTACGTCCTTGTTTACTAATATCCCACTGGACAAAACCATAGAAATAATTGCTGATCGCTTGATTTTGAATGCCATCCGTTTTCATGATCTCACTCACTCTGAATTAAAATAACTTTTAAATTGTGCTGTCCAAAACTGCCATTTTTGTGTTCAATGGTTCCCTATATCAACAGGTAGACGGCATAGCAATGGGCTCTCCTATTGGGCCTCTATTTGCTAATTTTTTTCTATCTTTTCATGAAACGACTTGGCTTAATAATTGCCCTACCAATTTTAAGCCCTTACTATATCTTCGATATGTAGATAATACCTTCCTTCTGTTCCGTTCTAGGGGCCATATTCCTCTTTTTCTTGCATATCTCAATTGCCAACATCCTAACATTAACTTTATGTGTGAAGTTGAATCCAATTGTCAACTTTCCTTCTTTCACATTACTATGTGCAGTGGGCGAGTACAGACGTGTATATTTCTGCTCCGCTGTTTCATTCACATAAAAAATAGTGCCTAATATGGCAGCTGTAAATGTTAAATCTTTAAAAAAAGAAAACGATGCATTGAAAGTGCAGATTGAGAACTTAACTGCGAGCATGCAAAAGTTGGAAGAAAATCTGAAAAGGTGCAAGGCAGTATCGGCCGGAAATAGCGACAAAATCGAACACGAAACACGAAAACATCTCGAATTTTACAGTAATTTAAGTCTGAGATGATTAATGAGCTTAAGCTTTATAAATCTCAGCTAAATGTCATAGCTGGTCAAGTCGAATCAATTTCAACGACCATTGAAGAAAGCGTATGCTATAGTTATCAATATAACGTGAAATAGATTGGGATCCCAGAAATGAATCAAAACGAATCTGCTACCGAAACAACTAAAACTTATTCAACAAGATTGGTGTTAAAGTCAACGAAAGCAACATCGACATTGCTCATTGTGTCCCAGGAAGAAACGCGAAGCCGGGACCAAAGCCTCATATGTAAACTCGTTAGATGTCTCAGTAAAGAACATATCAAAGCTAGTGACATTGGTTTGCCGACAGATAGTGCATTAAGACATGCCCTTATTCTTGATCACCTTACACCGCAAGTACAATCATTGCTTGGTGAAGCAATGAAAATTCAAACTCGTAATGAACATAAGTTTTGCTGGGTAAAAAACTTTACAACTTACTTGAGAAAGGAAGAGAATTCCCAACATGTGGCTATCAAATCGATTGAAGATCTGGAGAACCTTGAGAATAGATAAGTGATGTCTATCATATTTATTTATAAATGTGTGTATTTATTAATGGAGGGTAATAATAATGAGAGTTTTGCTGATGCCCTACCCTTTCACCAGCTCGATGATGACGAGTTTGACTTATTGATGTATGAGCTACCTAATGGTGAAATTAATTTTCACCCAGATAGAGACCTTAGCATTTAATCCTTTCTTACCAAGGTTTAATAAAAGTTTAACGCTACAAAATGACCTTGATCCTGATAGTAAATTATATGCAGATTTGTCTAGTTGCGATTTCTATAACGAGTGTACTTTGAATGATAAGTTGATCAAAATACCTCATGTTAATTCAACCGATTTATCACTTTTACATTTAAATATCCGTAGTCTTCCCACTCATGCTGATGGGCTAAAAAACCTTTTGGCTAGTAAGATTGTAAATTCTCTGTTGTTGGTATTTCGGAAACTTGGTTGTCTGATTCTTACACTAATGTTGATCTTGATGGTTATAATTTTATTCAAAACTGTCATCATGGTCGGGCTGGGGGTGGTGTGGGACTTTACTTGGACAATAGCATGGTGTTTAAAATGCGGGATGACCTCTCTCTTTGTTCGTTGAAATATGTAGAAACAAAGGGAAAGGTATTATTGTCAGAATAATTTATAGACCACCTTTACAAAATGATGAGAATTTTATTCAAGCAGTTAATACGTTAACTGCAAAAATTGTTAAGGAAAACAAGTCTTGCTACTTAATGGGTGACTTCAACCTGAATTTATTAAATTGTCAATCGCACAATCAGACCAATGAATTTTTGGATATTATGTATTCTAATATGTTTTTTTCCATTAATCACTTGTCCAACAAGAATAACTTCTCACACAACTACACTAATTGACAACATATTTACAAATCATATTGATCACTATTTATTATTGGTTTATTATTTACAGACATTTCCGATCATCTTCCTGTATTTTGCGTTAGTTATTACAATTCTCTTAAAGAAGCAAAAAATAAGTATACAGTATATCAAGATAAAAGCAAGATTAATCTGATAAAATTTCAGAATCTGCTAAGGATCGCTTTCAAATTTCAGAATCCGCTTTGGGAAAATCTTCCGGGCTATAATGATCCCAAAATGGCTTATGATAGCTTCTTTAATGAATTTACTTCTATTTACGATTCTTCTTTTCCACTGAAGAAAATAAAGGCAAAAATTTAATTCAAGAAAACCTTGGGTCACGAATGGTCTCTTTAAATCTATTAAAAGGAAGAATAAACTCTATAGGAAATATCTTTAATTTCCTACTGCGCAAAATGAAACACTTTATAAGGCATATAAGAGAAGAGGGGGGACGCTCTTGAAAATCAAATGGGCATGGTCATTCGATTGGGCGTGGCCATTGGCCATGAAATTAAACAAGCAGGGATTTAGTGACTTTAGTCTAATAGGCAAGCTTGTCAAAATATGTCACATTGCTGTGGATGACGGTTAACGGATGGCTACGAAGCCAGTTTCAACTTCTGAAATTGAGTCTTCCACAGATTTTTCAGTAAAGAATTCAACGATTTTAGATCTTTTAGAAATCATATCTCTTATTAACTACAATGGTCAACAACCTATTTTACAATTTCTGGCTTAGGCTTGATTTTTATAAATTAGTATAGTCTTTCACGCAATCGCGAAATTAAACATTAAAATCATCAATGGGAACATAAAATGATTCAATAAGAACATTAACATGAACGAGAAAAATTCAAGGATATCTATTATCCAAGCTTATTTAGTTACTCGTGAAAACGTCATATTTAACTTGCAAAGTTGCCTATTTGCCGAGTTGGTTGACTCACATAGCACTAATGCATCATCGAAATTGGAAAGTTAACATGGTTTTATTTGCTTTTTGACATCTACCGCGCGCAAGCTACGTGTTTTTCAGGTATCATGTTCTGCTAACTCCATGCATAAGGTAATTCAAATTATATCCCGCTGGGCTGCCCCCCCCCCCCGGCGACAACTTTGACAATTTCCGACAGCCTTGACAATTTTCCGACAATTTCCGGCAGCATTGGCAATTTTCCGGCGGCTGTCAACAATAGGGGAGGGCCATGCCCGCCCCCTCCCCCGGCGCCACTGATGACAATCACTAGAATGACGTTTTCCACTGGGCGAATTTGTTCGCGCGAAGCGACATGTAAAAGAGTAGGAACTGATCCAACTTTTTCGCAGCGAATTTTTTCGCTGACCAATCACATTGCCGAAATTTGGTTTTCATTTCGCGCGAACAAATTCGCCCCAAAACAGGCTTAAATAATAAATCGATACCTTCTCTTGTTTCGTGATGTAAATCACGTTTTCCAAGCACACAAAATCACTTAAGCCCTTAAATCTTCCGTTACAACGCCATAACTTACAAGTAAAATTCCTATAAAATTCCATCAGTAAAATTTATGACTTATATGGTTACCACTTTACCATCAGGAATGATTATAAATTTAAAAAAATATGAAATATGTTTCCTGACGATGACTGAATTTTAGTCGAAAGCTACAATATTAAAATGTTTATTTTCGAAGTTACCGTTGTTTTATATTTTATTAAAATACTCAGTGGTTCCCGTAATTTTTACCGATTACGTATGACGTCATTGACGTGCGTCGACAAATGTTTTCACGATTTCATGTTTGTCAACAGAGCCACCTCCCCCCCCCCCGGTAAATTTAGTTCTACAGCACTGCTGCAAAGCCTTGCAAAGTCTCTATTGCACTATTTGTCGACTATTCGTACTATTCGTCGCCGCACTATTCGCGGACTATTCGCACTATTCGCGGACTATTTGCACTATTCGTCGACTATTCGCACTATTCGCTTCACTATTCTAGTTTTATCAATTGCTGTCTGGCCTTAGATTGAATACATGACTATTTTGCAAATAGATTTCAATTTGTTGGTTACAAAATTTCTTGTTCTTCTTATAGCCCAATTACATGTGGCGTGCCACAAGGATCAATTCTCGGCCCATTATTTTTTTAATATATATAAATGATCTTTCTAATGCCTCCAACATTCTAGAATTTATATTGTTTGCCGATGATACAAATATATTCTATACTCATCAAGACCTGAATGTCTTGATGTCTACTGTTAACACAGAAATTGAGAAATTATCCACTTGGCTTCAGTCAAATCGATTATCTATCAATCAAAATAAGACAATTTTTTTCTATTTAAGCAAAGGAAGAGAAAATTAACATGTGACTTTGTTCTGGAAATTAATAAGTCACATGTTGACCGAGTCAGTGAAGTACTGTTTCTTGGTGTTGTACTTGATGAATGCCTGTCTTGGGAACCTCACATATCTTTAATTTCAAATAAAATATGTAAGTCTGTGGGTATTATTTTTAAAGCAAGCTTTTGTTTATCCAAAGCTGCTTTACGTATTTTGTACTTTTCTTTGGTTTACCCCTATTTGCAATACTATGTTATTGTTTGGGGCTCTACATATTCAGCGAATCTTGATCGTGTTATCAAGAGTGGTTTGCTGCATATGTAGACAACCATACGATGCACATACTGATCCGTTATTGAAAGAATTGAAAATTCTGAAATTTGGTAATATATATTTATTTAATGTAGGTATGTTTATGTTTTCGTATAACAATGACTTGCTTCCTGACGCTTTCCGTAATTTTTTTCAACCGGTTAATCGAATTCATCAGTACAACACCCGAAACTCAGGATTACTCTATATCCCGTTTTGTAGGACTAATATCAGACGATTCTCTGTGTTTTATCAAGGCCCAACATTCTTCAATAACTTAAGTTCAGATATCCGAAGCACTTTTTCAATCGCATCTTCCCGAAACAAATTTAAAAAATATCTTCTGAGTTTTGTTTAATCTGTTTGTAATAAATACTTTGTACTCTACTTTCTAGCGAACAGGATTTAATATTTCAATGTTATAAACTGTAAATACTTCTTTATATTCTGACTATTTTCCAGACTGGAAAGTTTGCAAATTGCACAACCAAGATCAAAATTTTCCGGGTTTTTGTACATCTAGTTTTCGAATGAATTAGCGCGTGCCGTATTAAATATAATTCATAGTTTTTAGTTATCAACAAACGTGACAAAGTAAAATTGTTTATTATGTAATTTCACCATTATGACATAATTTCACCATCGTTAAAATTTTTGTCCAACCGTAAACACGCTTGTCCCATGGATCCAATCGATCGGACCATCTGACATTTGCCATTTCAATTGTGGCATAGCCTCTTGCCCAGGCTCTTTACTTTCGGCCACCTAGATTTGAAAATAACATCGTTGCACCATCGGTAGTAAAATCTTTGTCCGACTGTAAACAGCTTGTCCGATGGATCCAATGAGTTCTTTGGCAAGTTATTTATTCCTAAGCCCGATACTGATTATCTTAAGCGCTCCTTCAGTTATAGTGGAGCATCACTATGGAACAGTTTGCCTGAATCTCTTAGATTATCATCATCCCTCTCCTCATTTAAAGGAAGTCTGGAATCTCTATATTCTTCCAGTCTTACTGACTCCCACACGGCAACCAGGTAGAACAGTACCTCTCCTCTTCTCCTTCTTCCCTTCAATCTTGTCTTCTTCCTTAACTTATATTAATTGTTCTTATTTGTAAATAGCTAATTATCGTAATTATGTACTGATGGTTCTCTGTGTTTTAAATAAAGTCATGTATGTATGTATGTATGTATGTATCCGATCGATCATGGCATAGCCTCCTGCTCAGGCTCTTTCCTTGCAACCCTGGCATTCAAATGACATCATTTCACCATCGGTAAAATTTTTGTCCGACCGCAAACGTGCTTGTCCGATGGATCCGATCGATCGATCGATCGGACCATCCATCAGTGACATTTGCCACTTACATTGTGGCATAGCCTTCTACCCTGGCTCTTTACTTTGCAACCCTGGCATTCAAATGACGTCATTTCACCATCGCTAAAAGTCTTGTGCATGTCCTTCCACATGCACACAAAAAAAATTTCGAAAATATATTACTCCGATCGCGGATATTGGACATCAATCTAAAGAACAAAGCAGTTCTTTAGAGAAGTAACTAGGGGGGGAGTCACATACTTCAATTTATCCGAACTGATTGGCTGCAATTGTCCGATTGAATTTTCGGGCTGTATGATATATCTGTATCATGACATATAGATGGATGAGTTAGGCCCTCTCAAATTCAGTTATTTACCGAAGTTGGCAATTTTGCACACTGAGATGCTGACTGCTGTCATGATTATATTTATAATTTATAAATGAAAGTGGTATACTTTTGTCTTCCATATACCGGAACACACTCTCCGAATCCGTACCCAAATTCAACACCTTTGCTCTGTAGCCTTCCCACATATAAGCATCAGAATCGTTTTTCGTCCAACTCTACATTTGTCCAATTTCTTCATGTTTAAGGACAAAATTGCCGATGCTTTGAGGTCGTATGTGGGCCAAACGGGCCGCCATCTACATACACAAGTCTCTGAACACCTGGGTATTCCCGCCCTAACTGGTAAGACGAGTAGCAGTCCTCAACTTACGAGCATCTTTTCCCATCTCAGGTCATACTGCTTCTCTTGATGATTTTAAGATCCTATCGTGCTGTTCCTCTCCAGATGAACTTCTCGTCTGTGAAAGTCTTCTCATCTCAAAGCTACTTTGAATCAGCAAGGTAGCTCCATTCCTCTCTCACTCCTCTGACCCCATTTCCCTAACCTCTCATCCTCCGCATTCTTATTACCTTGTAATTTGATATTGTAAATAGTAATTTATTCATATTTGTAACTTATTGTCATACTATATTCATTTACTCTGAAGATGTCTTAGGTTAAAGACGAAACGTTAGTACTTCTTAAATAAATTTTATGTCTATATTATTTGCATATGTTATGCTGGGCATTAATCGTTATACTATGATTACAATCCCCATCTGGTTCATCACTTGCAAGCAATGGCAATATAATCTCTATAACAGATGCTGCCAATACTGCCATATACTTATGGTTATCTTATAGTTTGTGGGAATTGACAGTGTAGGTATCAGATATGTAAACAATGATTTCGATTACAGGACCTTGATACATTTTCTCAATCTGTATTAAATATGTATGACAGCTACACATCTCAGTAACCAAGCTGTATTATTTTCGTCAGACTCACATCACACATGCTAAAATTTCTTCCTCAGCTTTATTTACAACATTTCACCTTGGCCATATATATATATATATATATATATATGGCCAAGGTGAAATGTTGTAAATAAAGCTGAGGAAGAAATTTTAGCATGTGTGATGTGAGTCTGACGAAAATAATACAGCTTGGTTACTGAGATGTGTAGCTGTCATACATATTTACTACAGATTGATCATATATATATATATATATATATATATATATTATCTTAAAAATTGTACATGTTGCTACTCAGAGTTTCATGCAATTTTGCAATCTTCAGGCAACTGTTATTACAAGTTCAGTCCTGTTTGTTGACGCTACTCACTAACGGTTTGCTGACGCGCGTGTGTTCGTTTGTCGCGCACGCTCTCAAATTTTCCCGCGTGAAATTTCTCTGCGTGGCGGCACTTCGCAAATATTTCTGATCTTCGATTAAGAGCTTTATTTGCCTTTAAAAGGCACAGTTTTTCTTCGGTGCACAAACTGCAGTGCTTTCCACCTGCCGAATACGACGGAGCTCGTTTCAAGATTGACCACTTGATTTCGTAATCTTTCCCAGCGTTCTTTAATTTCCATACGTATTTCGAAAGTTCTGTGTCAAATTCGTATCTTTTGTGCTCGAACGATTTTATGTGGTTTCGATATCTAACTTTGAAATCGTTTGCCGTCATTCCGATGTATTCCTTCATTTCGCGCTCTTCCCTTGTTTTTATTTCTGCCTTGTAGACTACACCTTTCGTTAAACACTTTTTCTGGAGTGGGCATTCACTAGGGATTCACAATCATGTACAATTTTTAAGATTAAATAAATATTGCTCTACAAATTTTTGTGTTGAGCACTCTTCAATCTACTACAATAACAAAACTTTGTTATATATATATATATATATAGAGATATATACCGGGTGGCCCAAAAAAAAGTACTCCTGTTTGATTCGTAATAACATCTAAACAAGTATAGCTTTTAAAGAGAAATAACTTGCATCAAATAGAGGAAGGACTAACTTAGACTTTGATATATTACAGTTGTATTTCACTTAAAAATTCACGGAGATATTAATCTTTAAATTCGGGAGGATATTTCTGGATGTGTCTGAAATATGCAAAAATCGGCGTATCAAATATTAATCAAGATTTGCCCGACTGAAACATGCACTATTACCAGTAAATAAATGACACTTGACAAATTGTTTATTATGAAACAAAGTATTATTATATCTACAAAATACAAGCAAGATTCATTCGTCCGAAATTCGCGTGTGTTCCTAGCACGAATACGTTTCCTTATTTCATGAGACCACTGCATCGCGAAGGATCGTCATTGGATCGTTCGTAGTTCTGAATTAGGGCATGCTGTCACAACGGAATTGTGAAGCTCTTCTAACTTCTGCAACGTTCTGAAATCTTGTTAAGAACACCCAAACTCTTTTGCCGTTTCTTAATCTTGGCAAGTTCATGGAGTAAACTGAGAATTATATGAAACACAATCAAACCATACAACTCCATAAGACATAACAATTAAGCAACTCCCCAGAGACATGCAACATTTTTGGAACAAAACGTAACAAAATAGTAGCGTTGATACGGTGATGTGTATTTGCAAAAAGCAATATTATTTCCTTCAATAAAGAATATTCATCCTGCTCTAACCGAGAAATAATCTACTCAGTCTGTTTGAACCCATTAAAAACATAAAAAAATTAGGCTACCGTATTTAAGAATATGAAAAATTTAAGCGCCTGCCTTCCATGGTCAGTCTTTCATGTACATTTAAGTTTGCAAAGACCTAATATTAAATACTTGCATAATTTCGAAAGTTAATATTTCAGGAAACAATGAGCTAAGACTTACATGTAAGATGTCTAAATCTACGCCATATCCCTTACAAACCTTAACGATAATTCGCTGAAATACAAGTTAGCCTAATATGTCATTAAGCAAACAAACGCTGGAGTTAATATTTGATATGCCGATTTTCGCTAATTTTAGACACATTCCAAAATATGCTCCCCATTTTTAACATTAATATATCCGTGAATTTTTAAGTTAAATACAACTGTAATATATCAAAATCTAAGTTAGTCCTTCCTCTATTTAATGCAAGTTATTTCTCTTTAAAAACTTTACTTGTTTAGAAGTTATTACGAATCAAACAGGAGTACTTTTTTTTGGGCCACCCGGTATATATATATATATATAGAGATAGAGATATAGATAGATATAGATAGATAGATATAGATAGATAGATATAGATAGATAGATATAGATAGATATAGATATAGATAGATATAGATATAGATATATATATACTAGAAATACATGCATGCAGCAACCCCTCACCTGTATTTTCCAAACATTGATTTAAAATGAAGTATTAGTAATTGATCAACACTGAATGCAGGCTCGTGTTTACATCAGTGTTGCCATGGCAACATGATAATTTTAATTTTTATTATATTTTTTTGTACAACACGCCACCAAAAATAGTTGAACGATTATTGCCTTTAAACTATATAACAATGAATTTCCGAAATATGTACTGTAGGTACGTTGTTCTGCATTTTGTGAGCTTTGATTTAATGTAAAATTTAACCTGAATCACTTTGTAAAATGTTTAGAAATGTTCATTTTAATAATTCCGATAAACTGTTCTTATTTAATAAAACAAAATAAGTTCAAATTGTTGAGTAATTTCAGTTCGGTTTTCAAATTAATTTGCTCTCCTTTACATTTTCCACTTTTTTCTTAAATCAAATAGTTAAACAGGGTAATTTAGCAAACTTTAATACAGCTTCATTGAAAAGGAATTAAGGCGGTTTTCCACTAGGCGGAATTTTTCGACCGAATCGAAATTTTTCGAGCGATTATTTTCGAGCGAAACCACCGGCTATTTCCACGCCAAAAGCGCGCGAATTTTCAAGCGTGCAGAAGCGAAAAAAAAAACATGGCTGCTGTGAACAAGCGATATTTTTTAAAAGTGCTACTGTTATTGTCCTTGAGATTATGCATTAGAAGTCGAGCAGATAAATACAAAAAGAGGTTTTGGGTTAGAAAAATTTACCAGGAAAGATGCGAGAAAGGCGAATATCATTTGTTAGTGAGAGAAATGATGCTCTTTGACCAGGAGTTTTTTACTAATCGATTCAGGATGACACCTTCGACGTTTGAAAAACTTTTAACGTGGGTAGGACCTTATCTGCAGAAAAAATCAACTGTGATGCGAGATCCTATTGCTCCTAGTGAACGGTTAGCACTGACATTGAGGTACCTCACGACTGGGGATGCTCAAGTGACTATTGGAGCCAGTTATCGTATTAGCCCAACTACCACTGGGAGAATAATACACAAAACTTGCCAGGTAATTTGGGATGTTTTAAAAAAGCAGGGCTTTCTTGAGCTTCCCCAGAATAAAGAACAGTGGAAGAAGATTTCGCAGGATTTTAACAACTACTGGAACTATCCACACGCACTAGGGGCAATTGATGGGAAGCACATTGTCATTCAAGCACCTCCAAGAGCAGGGTCGGACTTTTTAATTATAAAAAAACTCAGTATCGTGTTGATGGGAGTATGCGATGCCCACTACAAGTTTATCTTGGTTGATGTTGGTGATTCTGGACGTCAATCTGATGGTAGTGTATACAATAATTGTTACTTGGGCTATGCTATTGAAAACAACTTGTTAAATCTACCAGATTCAGAGAAAATAACCAGTAACTGTGACATAGATTTGCCTTATGTACTCCTTGGAGATGATGCTTTTGGCCTCAAAACATTCATGATGAAACCGTATCCAGGAGCAACTTCTGATATTTCACAAAGGATCTTTAACTATAGATTGTCAAGAGGGAGAAGGACAATTGAAAACACTTTTAGGATTTTAGCATCTCGATTTCGTGTTTTTCGACGCCCTATTAATTGTCATGTGGATTGTGTAATTGAAATAACAAAGGCTGCAATTGCTCTACATAACTTCCTGATTTCCAGTAGATCCCCACGAGAAATTCATAGTTATTGCCCACCAATGGTTTTACCCCAGGAGAGTGGAGACAGGGGTATGGTTGGAATTAGAAGGACCTTTTCTAACAATTATTCTAATGATGCTAGAATTGTGAGAGGTTTCAGAAAGTTTTTCTCTGCAGAAGAACGATGTGTCAGTTGGCAAATTGATTCAGTAACCCGAACCACATTGAATCAGGACAAGGATAAATGTTAATTAATTATAAACAATGACTCAACAAGTTTAACAAGTTTAATATGAACATTGTTGTACAATATGGTTCATAGTATTTGTTTTTAACAAATATGTTGAATAACCAAAAAATACAGTTTAACAACTAATATTTTGAATAGGAACATACATAGTTGTTCTATAACGTTTGTATAAAATATTTTAAATACTGGTAAAATATGGTGTGACAAAACTAAAAGAAATATGGTATTTTCATCATCTGACTCAAATTCTATCTTGTAAAGTAATTCATTAACTTTCATCTTTGCTAATCTCTTTTTTTAAGAGGGAGTTGTCGGAAGATTGGTATTAGACTTCTACAGTACAATGAATCTTCATCATCTTCTGTCACCAGGCCATCAGATCTATTTCCATTATTTTGCATATCTTGTAGTGTTTTCACCAGCATTGAATCTACAGCATGGGCTAGCTCAGCACGACATTTTTTGGGTTGACTAGCTTGACTCTGATTATCCGGCAAAGGCTTCAATTTTTTTGCAGAACCAGAAGAGGCTTGTGTTAAATTGATGTTGTCATTGGTGCAAGACTGAGACACTAATTTTCTTTTAGTCGGTGTAGAGGTGGAAGGTTGAAGTTCCAAAGGGGCTGATTCTTCAACCAAATCTTCACTTTCGTTTATTGTAATAGACACATTGCTCACTGTTGGTTTATTTGCTGTTTTGTCAGTCAAAAACAAAAGTTGACTGAAGTATTTACATTGTGGCAATTTTGAATGTGGTGTTCCTGACTTTGTTGCCTTTTCACGTCGGTCCATGCACTTCTTCAAATTGTCTTTCAATCTTTTAAATTCTTGTTTCAAGAAGTCCACTACATAAAAAGGGTATAATCAATCAATAAATTGTCAGGACATTTTACATTTTATTTTGACTAAATCTAGACATTTTTATTTCATGGATATATAGTGGCGAGTTGCACCCATGGCTGGTAATTGAAATAAATATATTACTTATTTACAAATATTATATCATATGGCATAAAACATTGTGTTCATATCTATTGATTAATGCACTTATCATCGGCTTCCCCGGGGACAGGAGGGGATTTGTTGTCTTTTGCAAAAATTTGGGTTTGGTAACCAGTTTACCACTGGAAAAAATTGTTTGCTTTTTTTGCCCCATGGGGGTAGGGGGCTGTAACATGATTTTTGTCATTAAACTTTCCCCTGTACCCAGGGGCTTTGTTAATGTTTTGTCTTGTCCTCTTAACAAAAGCCCCTGGATGTCCCGGGGGTCGATCCCAGGGGAAGCCGTTAATAAGTGCATAACAGTTCTATAGGTGTTGTGCCAGAACAATGTTTTAACATTCACAGTGGACACAGACATGTACATTTGGGGCCAATCTGTCCCATGTGCTATTGGGAAGCAAATTGATCCTAGCCTGTAGTTCATATAAAGCTGGGGATGTATGTAATGTACCATTTCATAAGCTAAAAGTGCATATCACCAGCAGCAGTAAAAGTTAAACCTCAGGGTACAATGCACAAATGAAATTAAATCAAACTAGGAACACATAATTATATAGAGCAGATGGAATGAGGATGGCATCAGGTCAACTGTCCTCCAGCCAAACCACGCTTACCAACAAGCTGTAGCATAGCCTGCGAACAGACTCTCTTTGAAATTTGAGAGAGAGCCTTGCAGGCCTAGCTAATAAAAACGCGTCTGTCTGTTAAATTTACACAACAATAGATTCAAATCGAAAATATCGTTCTATAGCGACGAGGTGTATAGAAAACTAAATCTTTGTTTAAAGTTAAAGGATGGACAGTCAAAAGCTATTAATAATATTCTAGACGGAAACGATGTTTTAGCTCTACTGTATAAGAGAGTTTGGCAAATACAACGGCAATGTTCTTATATCAACAATAGCATCTTTACTCTAAGACAAAGGCGACTATAATTTGCATTCTTGAGCACTCTAGTACGCCGTAGTTGTTCAAACTCAAGTTGTTGCGGTGTTTATGTGAATTCACAATTACTATTGCTACTTCAGGAAATTTCAGGGTTGTTTGAAAGAAAGATAAGTGCTTTTAATGTTGTTGTAAGTGCGTTGAAATCAAGATATGCGTTTTGTTTATATTCGCAGGTTACTACATAAGGCGTGTCTGTATTAATTTGTCACATTGTATTTTACATTTGATTGACAACACTATAAATAGTGATGGGCACAGACGCATTTTTATTGACTAAACCGGCAGGCTCTAATTCAATTCAAAGAGCCTGTTCGCAGGCTAAACAAAGTACTAATTAAAAGTATAAACCTGTGCAATGCTCAAGCGTATTGAGCGACATATCCAAGTCTTTTAAACGTCTCATACGAACAAATCTCACTGAGTTTTTTCTACAGAAAGTATCGATTCATTTGAGCGATCGCGTACTTTGAGAAAAGCTTGAAATGCAAAATTCACAGGGAAAATTGAAGAATTTCGGAGATAAAAACTGTTGATCTTCGAGTTTCACCTCTAGCATTCACCGCCCGGTTCGGAAAAGTAACAATTACGTAATGTTGGAGTCACGTGACCAGCGTTTACCAGGGCTACGTCGCTGCCTTCAACTCACGGCTAGCCCTGAGTACGAGTTTGGCAATTTGCGACTCAGAGAGTGGATATCGAAACAAATCAGTCAACTAGCATCGAAGCGTATCTTTCCTGCCGTTTAATCCCACTTGACAAGAATCCTGGCGGCGGCCAATTGGAATCGTGGAAGCCTTGCGACGCATCATCGGCAAGTCAATCATATACACGATCAAGCCACGCATCAGAGAGAGAGAGCGCTGGAGATTTACAACCGTGTGCTGGTCAGCAACCAGGTTGTGAGGTCGCGATACACGCCATGTCGCAAATCTTTACTGAGGAAGAGACAAATGCCCGTCATGCTGTATCGCCCTTGTTTGTACAAGAAGGAAAAGAAATTGCATCAGTTGAGGGGACAACTCAAGGCGACCCGATATCGATGCATATGCCTCTATACGCGGTTTCAATTACTCTTCTACTTCAAAAGATCAATGTGGCCCACGAAGTAAGACACGTTGCCTTTGCAAACGACCTCAGTTGTGCTGTCAGACTTGTTCAATTGCGTTTGTGCTGGGATAACATCGTCACCCACTGTTCTCCTCCGGGTTACTACCCGCGAGCAGACAAATCCTGGCTGAGCTAGGCTGATAGGCAAAGCTGGTCTCCTAGTCGCAGCTGAAGAAATTATCGCTGAAACACATCGATGTGCGCTTATCCACAGACGGCCACAAGTACCTTGGTGGTCACATAGATTCTGAGCAAGGAAAGAATGAGTACGTATTACGATCCCTTCTCCAAAGGTGGTCCAACCTACTCCGTGTACTGAGTGACATTGCGAAGTGTGAGCCTCAAGCAGCCTACAATGCCTTCTTGTTTGGATTCCGTCACAGATTTACCTACCATATCCGCACGATTCCAGATATTCAACATCAACTGCAGTCTGCAGATTATTGACAACATATTCGACACTGAACTACTTCCTGCTCTCACGGCCGGCCGAAATTTTTCCTTGCAAGATCGTAAGCTACTTGAGTTGCCAACATGCCTGGGACGTCTTGGCATACTCATTCTCTCGGATATGTGTGCAATGGAGTTTGAGATTCCAAAACGATATGTCAGGGCCTTACAGAGGAAATCGTCGAGCAGAATAAAGTCAGAGAAGACAGACCTGCCGAGCCAGTCCAGAGAATACGTCGTCGTGTGGCTAACGAGAGGAAAAAGAGACACAAGGTCCAGCTCGCACTTCTGCGATCGACCATGTCAGCAGAACAGATTCGCATCAATTACCTTGCTCAGTTGAAAAGTTCTTCAATTTGGCTGACAGCTCTTCCACTTGCAGACGAGGAATATGTCATCCATAAGCTGGAATTCTTTGAAGCAATCTACCTTTGCTGTAGGTGGGAGTTGAAACTGCTAGCGACTCACAGTGCCTGTTGAAATGTGTTCACCGTAAACCATGCCTTATCGAGTTTGAAAGGAGGTTTCATTCACCGTCGACATGATGAGGTACGTGATCTTCTAGCAGCCGCCATTGATGAAGTCACATATAACGTGTCAACAGAGCCTGCACTTGTTCCGCTGTCTGGGGAAACGCTTCCGCCAAGCGCCAACTCTGCCGACGACGCTCGAATAGACATCGCAGCAAGAGGTTTCTGGCAGAAGTGTGAAAAGCCTTCTTTTGATTGTCGGATATTCAACCCTTATGCCTCGACATACAGAAACCAGAGCATCTACAATGTCTTCAAGGCAAATGAAAAGGAGAAGAAGCGGCGATGCAACCAGAGAATTGTCCAGATCGAACATGGGTCGTTCACGCCACTGATATTCATGTCATTTGGAGGTTGCAGCAGTTCCAATCGCGTCGGACATTGAGCTTTGCGAAAGAAACGCTAAACTTTAAAATTTCATATTATATGTTTATCTGTTCAAATTTTGTGTTAAAAAAGCAATTTTATACACCACAGCATGGTTGAATCGTACACTTTGTAAACCTTTTTTTGTGGTGTTATTAAAACTATAATAATTTTTTTTTACGTTTGATTAAATAAGTACTGCAAAAGTCAAGCTTACGACAGTTCTTAGATTATAAGAATACATTATTCTTATACTTGCAAGTGATTTAGCACAGGTAATCTCAACTGTTTTAGGGTAAAATGACCATGGCGGTCAACATGGCATATGTGCGAAAACCTGAATCCGGGACGAAAGTCCTGAAAATGACCCCGCCCTGAAACGGCAGTGTCGACATAGCTCTAACTTCAGAAAACAAAAAGCGATATTCTTTCTGAAGTGCTTATAGTGTTTAGAAGGGTTGCTTTTAGGGTGGTCATTGGACGAAAAAATTTGTCTAAGTATAATATTTTACAAGAAAATGACCATGCACCACCCCAGGTAAATTGCTGATTATGCACAAAATAACTAATATGCCTGGCAGAAATTAAATAATCTTATTTCCTAAAAAAAATTATCATGGGGTGAAAAACTATGCTTAATTTAATATAAATATTGTTGATATCATAAGGATTGTCATTGTTTTCTTTAAATATAATACATTTTATTTCACTTACCCCCCACGAAAACACGATTTCAGCCATATTTTGCCGTCTGTTTGCTTTTTATCGCCGAATCTCGCAAATATCATCCAGTTGTTGTACTTTTACATAATCATAAATGGCTGACAAAGATTTCAAAGAAGGTTTCATCCACTTTTGAAACAGTGCAGTGTATTTTATCTTCGATATTGTGTCCTTCGATATTTCATCAAATTGCCGCCATTTTAATGGCTCTTCTTCGTTTTCATATGTATTTAGATTACATTATCCAAGAGTACTTCTTTGCAGAATAGTCCCAATCCAAAAATTGGAAATATTATTTGTACTTGGGAGGAAAAAACCTCCCATAATAGTTGTCCTGTCAGAATTCAAAAGAAGTAATTTAAAAGTCACGCGCAAGTTCGCGAAAACACCTCGTGGGTTACATAACAGGGCGAGGTGAATATTTTCACGAAACGTTTGTTCGCCATCACAGCAACCTAACTAAGTACATTATATTTATTGTATATTTGTGATTTATGAAAAAAAACCAAAAACATTTGCGTATTTTTATCATCAATTATAAAAATACAAAAAATATAATACATTTAGTTAGGTTGCTGTGGTGGCGAACAAACGTTTCGTGAAAATATTCACCCCCCTGTTATGTAACCCACGAGGTGTTTTCGCGAACTTGTGCGTGACTTTTAATTTAAATTACTTCTTTTGAATTCTGACAGGCCAACTATTATGGGAGGTTTTTTCCTCCCAAGTACAAATAATATTTCCAATTTTTGGATTGGGACTATTCTACAAAGAAGTACTCTTGGATAATGTAATCTAAATACATATGAAAACGAAGAAGTGGCATTTATCGGGCAGAGAAGCGGCGAGCCATTAAAATGGCGGCAATTTAACGAAATATCGAAGGACACAATATCGAAGATAAAATACACTGCACTGTTTCAAAAATGGATGAAACCTTCTTTGAAATCTTCGTCAGCCATTTATGATTATATAAAAGTACAATAACTGGATGATATTTGCGAGATTCGGCGATAAAAAGCAAACAAGACGGCAAAATATGGCTGAAATCGTGTTTTCGTGGGGGGTAAGTGAAATAAAATGTATTATATTTAAAGAAAACAATGACAATCCTTATGATATCAACAATATTTATATTAATTTAAGCATAGTTTTTCACCCCATGATAATTTTTTTTAGGAAATAAGAATATTTAATTTCTGCCAGGCATATTAGTTATTTTATGCATAATTAGCAATTTACCTTGGGTGGTGCATGGTCATTTTCTTGTAAAATATTATACTTAGACAATTTTTTTCTTCCAATGACCACACTAAAAGCAACCCTTCTAAATACTATAAGCACTTCAGAAAGACTATCGCTTTTTGTTTTCTGAAGTTAGAGCTATGTCGACACTGCCGTTTCAGGGCGGGGTCATTTTCAGGACTTTCGTCCCGGATTCAGGTTTTGGCACATATGCCATGTTGACCGCCATGGTCATTTTACCCTAAAACAGTTGAGATTACCTGTGCTAAATGAAACGCATACAAACTCATATACAGGTCCTAGACTATATTTAATAGGCAAAATTTCGGCTATAAAGCAAAAATCAGAAATGGCCAGGGCCGTAGGTAGACGCGATAATTTGGGGGGGGGGGGGTGTATATTCATATATTCATATTCACATAGCGTAAAATCAATCTCTTTCAAAAGAAATTCGTCGGGCAGAACACGAATATATTGCTATTCTAATAATTTCCAAACCATCTATTCTATATTAACTGGCATGGGGAGCTCCACATGGAATACGTAAAAGAAGGCTGCAACACGCCTGTCAAATATGGGTGCAAAAGCACCAATATGCTTCAACTTCTGAAATTTTCAATCTGTTTCTACCAAATTTTCCGTGAATATAGAACATATCGTTCTTACAAATCGTATGTTTTTTGTTTTAGGAATTGTTACTTTTTGGCGAGTAAAATACGTCACAAACAAATTCACGAAAAAATTATGTAAAATTCAAGTTAAAATTTTGACATTTTCAGGTAAAATTTGCGTACTAAAGTAATTATTTTTGTGAATTGATAACCATTTTTGTAAAATACAGTCAATTTACATCCAATTTATTTGCCTTAGAAAACGCCATAAATTCAGTTCTAGAGCTTCAAAAATGTAAAAAATTTTCTGGGGGACCCACAGACCCCCCTTTTCTCCCAAAACTTAGTATGACAGTGCAAATCAATCAAAAAAAGGTTTATTATAATTATTACACTTCAGGTAAATTTTTAACATTGAAATTCAAATTTCAGGTAAAATCCTCTGCCACCCCCCCCCCCCCAACTTCGGATGCTTCGCTACGTCCCTGATGGTTGTATTTCAAAACCGATTTTAGTTTTAAGATATATATCCTTAGTCTGCTCTTCTAAATGGATACATGAAATCACCTATAGCTTATTTTTAATTTTTTGGCGCCAGGTTTGTGACGTAATTTACCCGCCAAAAAGTAGCAGTTCCAAAATAAAAAAGCATACGATTTGTAAGAATGATATATTCTATGTTCATTGGATATTTAGTACAAACGGGATTAAAATTAAAGACAATATAATTGAGGCATACTGGCGCTTGCTTTTGCATGCATTTTTGACAGGCAAGCAAAGAAATTTGCAACAAATGCCAGGAGATACGTTGGGTGGGGACGAGGTTCTCTAGGGTTCAAGCACATTACCCTGATCCAGGAAATCCCGGCCACTACATGAACGTGTTCAAGACTCCGACTATGATGGACAACAATCTGTTGATATTTTCACCCCTAGAGCCAATTTAAAATGTTTTTTTAAAGACGGTGCCATTTCATCTGGCGATAGTGAGGTGAAAGAAGCAGCAAGTCAGTATTTTTGTTGAGGAGAAGCACGTGCTTGAGTATATCAAACATCTTGAGGAACTGCAATTTGTATCTGCGATAAGAGAGAATTCCGGATTGTACTCCTTCGATTTCGGATTTTGGGGGGGAGCATTGAAAATTTTAAAATCTTGGAGGGGGTCATCGAAAATTTACCAATATCCTCAACAGGAGCCCTGTAAAAATATGAGCTTTTTTCAAGACATCTTCAGCCCCGGCATAATAAATGCACTTTTCTTTAATGCCAGTGGCGCCGCCAGCTCGATAATTGGGGGAGGCAAATATTCATATCTTCGTGTTCTGCATTATTAACTTCTTTTGAAATCGATTGTTTTTATGGTCTGTGAACACAAATATATGAATATTCGCCCCCCCCCCCCATTATCGAGCTGGCGGCGCTACTGCTTAATGCTAAGTCTTTTGGTGATGTCACTGGCCTGAAAATAACTATTTTAACGCAATCAAGGTATTTAAAACAAAAGTAATGCGAAGCCAACGTAACGGCAAAAACAACTCTAAAATGAAATATTGTCGATTGGTTGCCGCTAGAAGACTTATCAATCTTAAATAACCCGGCTTAAACTAGAATAATAAATGTTCACATTACTGAAAGACAAAGATCAGTGCCAAGGTATAAAATCGTATAAAAGGTATAGTTGCATCTTAGGATCCCTAAATATTTGGAACGAAACAAACAAGATATTTTATAAAATGTATAAAGGCCTACCTTCGTAATGCAATGAAGTTGGATCAGACGCTACAACCTGATCTGTCCAGGCTTGGATCACACGAACTGTTCCATTTTTCCACTTGCTGATAACCAGCGAGGCTAGTACATCCAATTTACCTTTTGTTCTCGATGTCATCCACCTCGCATCTTCATTGATATAATCAACCTGATCGTTCGTATTTCGGATTAAATTTCGTCGAAATCGCCCGGAATTGCGTTGAATTACTTCCCGGATTGTGCCACAAATTTCTGTTTCACTCTTGTTTGGAAATTTGTCTCCCAACAAGAGCTCCTTCGGACCTGACGAACTTATTTCGGCAATTAGTAGCAAAATACACCAAATTGCAAGGATCCACCAATCTTGGTATCTCATGATTCAGATGACCTACACGGTCGGATAAATGTGTTGGTAGTGTAAAGGTAAATATATCTAAGTTATAGATTCTTTTGTCCCTCTTTTCGTGTGCGTTTCTCAAGGGTTATCTTGATTCTGCAAGAGATGAAAGACTGAGGTTAGACTTTATTGGGTGGATGTTCACAAGCGGAAACGGAAATAGTGTGTGGGTGATAGAAGCAATTATGTAATTATAATAAACACTACCGCATATTCAAGGGGTACAAAGTTATCCTTATGGAAATAATGGACATTTGTAAAACATTGCACCATTAAACAGGATTAGCAAAGATTGCGAGCTTTGAAATAGGAACTTTGTTGTCAAAGCAATCTTTGCCAATGATGGTTTTGATGATACTAATACTATAGGATGACATACTTCTGTGGGTCAACCAACCCTTGAGACTCTCGACTATGTAAATATATATCAGTTCTAGAGTCTAGAGAAATTAAGTAACCATTATATTGGCCCAACATAATCATTATGATGCATTGTGGGATTTAAAATTGTCGAGCCTTTTGAAAACATTTCGCTTGGTATATATGTCATAGGATGTTGCATCAGATTTAGTAATATAAAGACCACTTTCATAATACAAGTGGGTACGTTGGAAAAAAGGACAAAAATAAAACAAAATGCAGTTGGGTATGAAACAAAATATTTGACCTAAAAGCCTGGCTTATGTGCACCAGTTTCCGTGATCACAGTAGGGATTTTTTATAGGTAAATTCTGAGTTTTGATCAAGATTTGTAAGAAATGCTTGAGGGAACCGCCCATTTTTTTACAAATCCTTCAATTTAGAATTTACCTATGCAAAATTCCCACTGTGAGCACAGGATCTTTGATAGTGTAGTCAAACCTAAACCCATGTTTGTGTTCGTGTGTCCTGATGTCTTTGTGAGGCTCGGGTTAAAACAGGTTTTAAAATGAAAGATATACAGCTATTTCAATTAAGGTTGTCCACGAGCAAAGCGGAAAAGTGGAATACGAGCGCGAAAGGCTGCTGGGAATCACTAACAAATTACTGAATTTTCAAAGCGATTCCCAGCAGCCTTTCGCGCTCGTATTCGACTTTCCCGCTTTGCTCGTGGACAACCTTAATTGAAATAGCTGTATACCAAATAGAATTTTTGTCTTTTCTGAGAATTGTATCTAGGTATAATATTTAAATAGACTTCCCACTCCATTAACTTTGCTTTCACACGATTACCAGGCAGGTGTGTAAGCAAAGGTCCAAAAAAAGGAATGATTTACAAAGGAGAGAAGAAGTGAATTATGAAAATAAAAAGTCATTGGCAGTACAATATGAAACTAGATATAATGGCAAGTACAAGATTGACAAGGAATCGAAACTAGAACCACTTGTATATTTTGTAAAGAACGAAAGTCTGAACTTATTTCCTGGTTGTTGTGGAAAAATTATGAAAATGTGCTGGCTGCAATAAAAGCTACTTATCTACAATAGTTTATATTGTCCGTCACGATGTCAAGCTATCTTTCGTATGCACTCAAGCCAATTCAGGAAGCCTCTACTCTATGTACCTCTGCAATAGCCCTCTATATTCTCAAGTACAATGTCCGCGGAGGTACGCATTGTGATTTCCAATTGTCGTTCAAATAAGATAAACATAATTGCTTTTGTATAGTTTCGATATCATGCCGTATTTAGTAATTTTAATTTTTTTTTGTAATTTTGAGAGTGCGCCGGTCATGGTTAGTTTCTCAATTATATATGTTTGTCATGGAATCAATAGAAATATCTAACACAAGTTTGTATTTTGGGTCTATAAACTCGGTCTGTGCCAGCGTAGGTAGTGACAATAACACCAGAAAGCTGTGGATTGAGAGGGATTCAACGACTTGAGAAATATAAGTAAAATTTTGAAGTTTCGACGAAGGGCGAAAACGTCGACGTTTTGCTAGTTTTCAGGTACACGTGTAAAAATCTCACATCTTGTAGTAATATTTGCTGTGTTGGTGTAATGTACTCAGGTGAATAAGATGCTTGTGTGATGTTACTCTGAGTGTACATCCACACCGAGCAGGCTTGAAAAATATGCCTGGCCACGGTGGGAATCGAACCCAATGCTCTGCCAACTGAGCTACGCGGTCAGATCGGATTAAATATCATGATTATTAGATTACACTGATATCGAAGGAACTAGATTCAGTTCCGAAATATCGCGTACTCGAACCGACCTGACCGCGTAGCTCAGTTGGCAGAGCATTGGTGACTAGTATTCCAAAGGTCGTAGGTTTGATTCCCACCGTGGCCAGGCATATTTTTCAAGCCTGCCCGGTGTGGATATACACTCAGAGTAACATCACACAAGCATCTTGTAGTAGCCTAAGTCTGCCAACACGCCGTCAATTAACAAGTTGTGTTCGCACTGTTTGGCCCAAATTGTCAACAAATTTGGAACAAGCAGTTAACAAGTTGTAACAAATTTGTTGATATTATCAGAATTGTTTGCAAGGTTGTTCCAACAAGTCCAATGCAGTCATTATATAACATTATAATATAGCATTTGTAAATTCTGAACGTTGATTGGCTAAGAGCCGTGTTGATATAACTCAATGTCAACACGGAATAATTCTGTCTTTATATTTCTTTGTGCTATATTATAAAAAATATATAAAACATTTTTTGTATTGATATTTAAGAAATAGAAAACATTTCCGTGTTTCTATACAGAGTTATAGAAACACGCGTGGAAGTTTGGGAGAAACGATTTCTCCCAAACTTCCACAAGTGTTTCTATATAAACTATATATAGGAACACAGAAAAAATGTTTTCTATTCCCTTTATTAAATAGCCTTTTAAAAACAATAGAAAGATAAATTTATTGATTCAGTTAATTATACTCATTCAAATATTAATTCTATCTTGATACACATTCGTGTAAAGAATAATTAAAGCATAGGCATAGCTAAGTAAACAAGTATATCGCTGTCAAAACAACAGACAGCACTTAAAACAGGCTTACTTTAAAGTATATATATATATATAATTCACTCAACAACGCATGCATGCTTGCAAAGAAAACACTGTTTTAAATAGATAGTAAACATTTAAACATGATTAAAAACCGATTAAAGACGATAGTAAACATGATTAAAAACGTCGCGAGGAAATATTGTTTTGAAAAGACAAAGCCAAAATTCAAATATCTTACCTTCAGTTGGTAAACAGTCAAACAGATATACAACGTATACTGTATTATACTTTGTGCTTTGTGCTTTGTGCTTTAGGTCTGTCTTCGATTTCTATGTCACTAGCAAAGCGTTGCTTTTTTTGTGACAGTTCTTCGGCGTTTCCGACGTTTTCCAACTTTTTTTCAATATTAAATATTGTTTGTATTTTGTCTTTCAAACTCCCACGCAACCCGTGTGAAAATTCCCCGTGTTTCTATCGAGTTACAGAAACACGCTCGTTTTCCCAATCCCACTCGTGTTGATATGACTGTATATCAACACGGAAAATGTTTTATATTTGTTAAATACTGTTACAACCTTGTGCCGTCAATCTTGTAACATTCTTGTTATATCATGGTTGTATCAGACTTGTTATAGAACAATCTTGTAGCATGTCTCGCAATGCCACCAAGCTTGTTACAACAACTAGGAACAAGCAGTGCGAACACAACTTGATGAAAAGATGATGTAGTGTTAGTAAATGGCTAAGTGCATGGTTGTTCAAGCTTAGTTAAAAAGTTCATATATTAGTATATATAATGAATACTCCTTATTCTTTTGCTTCTAATTAGGAACTGAGTATGGAAGGAAGGATAGGGGAATTAAAGGAAGCCCAAAATTTCATGATGCATTTTTTAATGGCCTCTTAATTCGGGGTGTTGGTTCAAACTCTCACGTTTCATGCTATATCTTTGGCAAACAGGATGGACTTTGTTAAAAAGTTCCGATCGTTTCAAAAATCACGAGGAAACTCTCAACTTTCAAGAGTATATCGACCACGCAATATTGAATGACTCTCTTTATAAATTATATTGTAGGACGATATTTGAACTGTCGACCTTCACACCCTGAATAGACTTAATTATATTGAGTATTGTGATTTCTGTGTGATAAATAATGAAGGAATGATTTTAAATCATGCATGAATGAAGGATTGAACGTCACTAAAAAGGGCTATTCCACAATTCCTTCACGGAGTTGGTTGTGTCCTTATTTTAATAAACAACATAGAAAGAAATTACAAATTCCGAAGAAAACTCACATTGTAATACAACTATAACTTTGTCGTGTTATTAAAGACCGGTAATAATATGACTTAACATTTATTAAAAAGACGTTTAGGAGTTTACTCCATCCTCAAGTTGCGACTTGCGAATTTTGAGAGGCTAAGAAAAAGTTCGTTGTTAATATTTTGGGCAAGATTACAGTTTGAGAGGATTCGTTTATCTCGTCTTTGGTTGTCAAAAGTCTTTAACCTTTTTGATAATTTAAAATTGCTGTCGCTACCGATTCGAACCCTCAACTTTTAAGACGCCATGTATCTTTTTATCTTTATTTTTGTCATGCCTAATGGGTATTCTTGCTCTTCGCACCAAAAAATCAATATCATGTTGGCTTATTGTGGTGACACATTGCGGTTCGCTTTCAATATAAACACTCTAAGTTAACATCCTCTAAACATTTCTATTACGAGAAAAAACATGTAGTTATCTTTTCCAGACCACAATGGACCGTATAACGATCCAAGTGACGCTGGTGATGATTTCAATCCACTTTATGAGGTTTACTAGAAAATACAGGCATGCGGAAACCCTCGCCTTGCTGTCAAAACCATTGTATTTTCCGAACATGAAGTATCTAGAGTAGTTGTCACGGAAACACGACAAATCGCCTAAAAATATCACTTTTAATTACAAAATTATCAATTTCCCAACATATATATGTTAGATAATTATGTTATTGTACGTAATATAAGCTTCAATTTAAGGTAAAATTCAACCACAAACGCTTCGCAAAACGTTTTAATTAAAATGTTCTTTATAAAACTAAACTGCCTTTAATTAAATGGCTTTATCGATAAACTTTGAGTTTGCAATAAAATGATTTCAAATTCTCGCTTACAAATAACCTTGCTTTCTTTTTTATTTAAAAAATTCAATATAATAAAAAAGGGAATCAATATTAAAGATATACTGAAATTATATGCTGTCTTGTTTAGTTGTTTCATATACGCAAAGGCCGTCGGGTTTTAAACCATTATAAAATCAATATTTAAAACAAACTTACCTTCGTTAACGTCGGCTCCCTTCTTTTAGCCGATTCTTTCGCCCTTTCTTTATGAGAAAACTTTTCAAATTTACGAAATCTTGCAAAAATGCGAGCAACAATTCATCAATCATCAAATCAAGAAATATTTGCTATTTCGCTGTCGTCATGCATGCAGTCGTTATAATGCAAACTTTAAACTGGACCAACCAGTGTCCGCTATTCATGACAGTCCGCCATATTTCTGAGATCAGTGAGGATGACCACCCATGGTTAGTCACCCACGCCCGCGATAATTGATGAAAAATAGCCGGGGGGGAATTAATACCCTCGCTCGGCGCTTCGCGCCGTCGGTTCGGGGATAATATCGAGGTTTAGCAAAACATTGCATGATTTCGAACGTAATTGACAATCTTACTTACACTATACTATAGAAATACATGCATGCAACAACACCTCCCCTATATTTTCCAAACATTGTTTCGAGATGAAGTATTCGTAATTACGCCAACACTGAAACGCAGGCTCGCGTTGCTCACGTCATGTTAGTCATGGCAACACGATAATTGTTTTTTTTTAATTTTTTGTACAAACCTGCAAAAAATATATGAAATTTGATAACTTTTAAATACAGAACTATCAATTTCTAAAATAGATAATATGGTATATTATTTTGGTTTCTATGGGCTTTATCTTAATGTAAAATTCAAAAGGAAACTCTACGTAAAACGTTTTCAAATGTGAATTGAAATTAACTGCTTTTTACCGATATTTATAAACTTCTTAACTCGAGCTTCAACTTATTACTCGCACTTTGAAATGAAACAAATTTAATTCGTACAGGACGCTAATGAAAATAATTTGCTTTCCTTTTTATCATGAACTTCTACAAAAGTTAATCAGTACTAGTTAACTAAGAAACTTTCGCAAACAATGCATAGGAAAGACTTGACTGAACATCAAGAACAAAGTCTATATTATTAATAATAATAATAATAATAATGGTATTTTAATAACACATCATCGCATGAAAATGAATTACAATGTGTTTTACAATTGATTTTAATCGGAATTACAATACTAAAAGTAACTATATTACAATATATCATTAGATTATTAAATAAGAACTTATAACTAAGAACAATTATTTGTTTAAAACACTAATCATGCTAGGGAAAAAACTATTACCAAATCTATCAGTTCTACATTTAAAAGAAGCGAATTGTTTAAAATTCCTTAAATTATACACATGTTCGTTCTCACTGGTGAGAGTTAGATGGGAAGAAAGACGACTGCCCAATGCAATATTTTTCATCGTCTTTTCGCAAAGTTCACCTCGACGTATATCCAGCCTAGGACACTGCAACATTTCTTGCGCTTCACCGTAGGATCGACCTGGCAGTATAATCCTCACTGGGGTGCACGTCTTTGAATTTTTTCGACTTGTTCGGACAGATACATAGGTAGACCACAATGCCATACTGTACAACAATATTCTAATGTAGATCTAATCAATGCATAATAAATTGTGATAAGGTCGTGCGGTGGAATCCCTCCCCGTCGTAGGACACGTAGGATATGCAGTCGCTTGGATGCTTTGGTAACAATCATCGAAATATGTTCGTTCCACTTAAGGTCATCCTGGATAATCAATCCAAGAACCTTGTGCGACGATACACATTCAAAGATCTGGTCTTCAACACACAAGTGTGGTAGTTCAGGTTTGTTCCGAAAGAAACAAATTTGCATCTCTTTGCATTTCTTTGCGTTCAATTTCATCAGGTTATTAGATGCCCATGTAGCTATAGAAGTTAAATCGGACTGGATTACAGACGGTTCCCCATTCCTTAATAATCCCTCAGAGATAGTAACATCATCAACGAATTTCCAATTGCCAAACCTCCCCGAACCGCATTGTAAATCATTGACCATAATTAAGAACAGGATCGGACCCAACTTCGTACCTTGGGGGACACCGGCTGTAACAGGAAGCCAACAAGAAACAGCTTCCGCAAGTTTGACCCGCTGTCTTCGCCCTGATAGAAAGTTTACGATCCATGGTATTAACGATCGCCTAACGCCAATATCAACAAGTTTTTGGATACAAAGTCATACATAAACAATTGAAACAAACTTGCCCTATACTTTAGGATTTCTCATACAATATCAATTCTTATAAATGTTTACGTTTAAAAATTGCAAAAAAGTTGTTGTACAATTTGACATTTGTTATGTGAAACGGTTTTCCAAGCTTTCTTACATGTATTTTTTATATTTTTTGCCTTCTTCACTCCTGGAAAACAGCCATATTTTGAGATCAGTGATGACCACCCACTCAACACCATTGGTCACGCCCGCGATCATTGATTAACTTTAGACTTCGCTAATGCTTTCGTTTCCCCGTGTGTAAATAGCCGGGCGGAATTAGTACCCTCGCCCCGGGCTCCGCGCCGTTGACTCGGGGATAATATAGTGATACAAATTGCGCAGTTCGTTTTTGGCACAAGTGCCCCCCCCCCCACATAGCAGAAGTGCCCCCCCCCATCTGGGGTAA